CAGAGAGACACTATGGCACCTAGATCCTGGATCTGGAGGACCCTGAGCACAGGCAGGAGAGATCCCTCAAAAGAACAAGGCGTAAACCCGAGCACAGCCAGGGGGCGCCACCCCTACCCCCTCGGCATGGACCCAACCCAGGTTCAATCCCGAGTGCCACATGGTCTCGGAAACATCATGGGGGGGGGGGGTGTCCTGGAGGCCCCTAAACATTGCCAGGGGGAGCCCCAGTACCACAGGGCCTGAGTGGCATCACATCTCAGGTCCCACACTGACCCAGCATATCCGGAAGTAGCTTGAGTCCCCTGGAACTGCCAAGGAGACCAGGAACAAACACACACTTAGTTTTCTTCTCTAGAAAGGGCTTTTCTCTTTCTTCTTTTGATTTGTTTTTTAGAGACCACCGGCTGTGCATAGGTTTACTCTTGGTGGGGCTCGGGGCCATAGAGGTGCCGGGGATCAAGCCTAGGTTGGCTGCAGGCCAGGCAAGCACCCTACCTGCTTCAAAAAAGAAGGACATTTCTTTCTTTTTCTTTTTTTGGCTTTTTGGGTCACACCCAGCAATGCTCAGAGGTTACTCCTGGCTCTACACTCAGGAATTACTTCTGGTGGTGCGCGGGGAATCATATAGGATGCTGGGAATCGAACACGGGTTGGCTGTGTGCAAGGTAAACACCCTCCCCGCTGTACTATCACTCCAGCCCCAAGGCATTTCTTCTTAAAAGTCAATGGTGTCCTTGGCTATTACAGTTCTTACCTAGACTCTCACCATGGAATTCCCCCTTTATCTCTAGACTTAAAAGTCCAGGGTATGTGGGTGCCTAACCCTCACCCTGACCCCCAGCATCACCTCCTACTGACTTGTTTCCCACCTCAGACCTCAATGGTTTTTGGACTATTGTCAAAAAGATGCCCAAAGGCCCCTGGGACCAAAGGCTCCAAACTCAGTGTTACACAGAAGTGCATAGTAAGTAACAAGGTCCTCAAGGGGAGGTGGGGTGCACCCCCCCCCCCCCGGAAACAGGAGGCCCGGACAGAGGCTGCACCTGGCGCCCTCAGGGTCAGCGAGCACCCCTGGTGTTCCTCAAGGGCTGATCTGGGGAGACCCTGGAGGGTCCAAGAGGGGCCCAGCAACAGAGTGTGAGATGAAGGGGAAGGCAAGAGTGAACACATCCTCTCTCTCAACCACAACTTGGCCTTGGCTGCAGCAAAGATTCTAAATGGGGTCAGAGGGAAGGAGGGCACGTGGGTCAGAGGAAGGAGGCAAGAAGGTCAGAGGGAAGCAGAGCGTCTGCCCCAGGCTGTTCCTACTTCCAGGCCCAGACCTCAGGTTCTGCAGCAGCTGGCCCCAGGGCCTTTTCTTCTTCCTCTCCCACCCCCCTCCCCCTGCAAATTTTGAAGGAAAGGAGATCCTCAGGTGTGACAGGCCTCACTTTTGGTGTGTCTTCCTACAGGCTAGAAGAAGGAAAGGAACTAAATCCTGCTCACCAGATGGCACTGACCCAAGAGTCCTTGTAAGAAGAACTACTCCCGGGTCCCAAGAGAGAGTACCACAGGGAGGACGCTCAACTGGATGCGATCCCGGCCACTCCCCATATTTCCCCAAGTCTCACCAGGAGTGCTACCTGCGCACCAGGAGTGATCCCTGGGAACCAGGAGTGGTCCCTGAGCACAGAATCCTGAAGTAAGCCCTAAGCACTGCCAGGTGTGGCAGCAAAACCCAAACGCAAAAACAAAAACACCAAAAAATAACTCCTCCAGAGGTAAGGGAACAAATCATGTTATTCCCACGGCAGCTCCACCAACCAAACAGGGACAAGAAGACAGTCTCTGAGTGTGTGTCTCACTGGGAAAATTAATTTTTTCCTTTGGCAGATGGCTGAGTCACAAAGACAGAAGGATTCATAAAATTCACATGACTCTCCTGTAAACATTTAAACACATAAAGATTAAGGAAGGCAACCGTGACCTTGATTAAAGTTAGCTGTTTTTTTTGTTTTTGTTTTGTTTTGTATTTTAAGTTCTACAACCCAAGCCTCATGATTGGCAGGCTCATCTGCCCAGCTTTTCCGACAAGCTCTGAGCTCAGCAACACACATGTCCCGTATGCAAGCAAGCAAAAGTGGGGCTTGGTGTGTTGTTTTCAACACAAGCATCAAAAGGAGACAACCATTTGTAATACCTAACCATGAAAGTATCAGGAGTTCCTGATTAAACTGGAGGAACCGTCCTTCCTGGTGAAATAAAAGATGAAGAAGAAGAAGAAGAAGCGAAAAACCAGAGATGATAAGACAGCATGCTTCACCCCACGGAGAAACCCAAGGCCACCACTCCCGCTGATTGAAATCCCTGACCTCAAGCAGTTGAGGACAGATTCTGGCTCAGAGACAGGCTGCCTGCGCCTGCAGCTTCATCCCCAGACGCACAACCCGACATCAAAGCTGCCCCCCACCACAATCAACTGGTGAGATTAGCACTGCCCTCCCACGGTGAAATTTTATGGGCCAAATCTGCCCACCACCGGGCTCTGCTGCATAATCTCACCAGCAGCTTAAAAGCTGTACCTCACACCGTGGGATTCCTGCGAGGGAGAGGTGACAGGCAGCCTTCGGCAGCTGGAGGGGAGGAATCCCCGTGTGGAGTTGGCTGCTCAGGAAGCCAGGCTCGAAGCTTCTCCCGGTGGCGTTTGCTACCTGGTGTAAATCTGCCCATTCTCACAATGCTTTTTATGGCTTTTGGCTAGGAATGAGGAACAGAGGGACGGGAGAGCCAGCTTGCAGGCAGGCGGGCCGCTTTGCAGGAGCACTTGAACTTGATGTGCCTGAAGCTGACAGTTCCTTGAAGGCCTTGTCAACTATCTATCCGGTAAATGAGGAAAAACACCCCCCAAACCACATAGAGAGTCTCGCTCTTGCTCCTGAAGCCGTTATTGACATGATCGCTACACAAGCCCTTTTTGAAGTTGTTTCCCTGATATTTAGCAGTTTGAATACTAATCCCCTTAACAAAACTGTGCCCGTGTGTCCACCCTCGGCCCCAATCCCTTTCTCTAGGGGGAGGAGGCCAAGCACTGGATACCAGGCCGGCCACTCGGAAGCACCTGGATTTGCATAGATTCCGACTCTTGTCATTCATGTTACCAACAGGAATTAGCATAAGGCATTAAGGGGGAACTCAGCGGAGAAAAGAAAGGCCATTTTGATGGAAATAAGGGGCAAAGGAATAATCTGCCATCAACTAAAATGCTTATTTGTGTATGGTTTCCCTAGCAAAGCTTCGAAAAGCCTATGTTGATTTTCTGTATACACAAAGAAACCTTAATCCTTTCAAGGCAACTAAATCACCCCAGAAAAGCAGCTCAGAAGAAAGGTACCCGGTCAGAGGGAGGGCTATTCACAAGCCAAGAGATGCCACAAATCACACCCGAGGAGTAAACAAAAACAAGCATGTGGGAAACATCTGACTGGGAAAGGGAAGATGTGGCAGAAACAGGGGGGAAGCGGGCAGAGGCTCACTCCAGGCCTGGACCCAGGGCCCCACTGCAACAGGGCTGGATGTGTGAGGGCATATTCCCAAAAGGAAAAGTCACTCCGAAGCTTCTCACAGCAAATCAAAGACTGTCACGTCACACGGGGTTGCAGGAAGGGCTGTCACAGAAAATCTCCCTACGGGCCTGTTCCGACCCCTGCTCTCACCCAAACATACCCCTCTCCACCCAGTCTCTTGTCTCACTCAAAACAGGCAGTGAGTAAGCAGGTGCCTCATCTGTGTATGAGTGCCATACACGATGAACTGCTCAGAGCTCTTGTATTGGGCTTTTAGCATGATGGAGAGCAAATTTATAGGAACTTTCGGTCCATCAAAAAAATATGATGAAATATAAAACTAAAAATTCTCCATTATTCAATTAAAAAAAAGATGAAATTCAATATGACAACAACTCTGGAGTACCAGCAATCACATAAGCACCCACACCTCAAGGGAAAGCTAAACACAACAGTATAATTTAAAACTGTGATGGGATCATATTCCCAAATAATCTGGGAGCTCAAAATAACTACACTTGGAAGTGTTTCTTACTCAACCAGCTATCAAATATGCTAGTCCAGGCAAAGAACAGAATCTGGTGTGGTTTTGAATTTCACTGTGAGAAGGCCCTGCTCTATTCAAGTATCTCCCAAGTTAGAAGGAGATTAGCCGGCTTCTTTATTTAGTAATTATCATGCAAGCACCCATGTTGGTGCTATAGGGCAGAGGAAGTGATCAAAGAGTTTGTGCAATATACACTTTTAAAATTATACACCTTGGCAGAGTCACTGATTAGAGACTTCCACCAATTTCCCTATTTCCACCTAAACTGCTACAAATGAAACACTGTCCAGAAACCAATTGGCAATGATTTAAGAGAAGTTTTCCCTTAATGCACTATTCCATCACTAGCCTCTCTTAATCTGCATTGCACTTTGGAAGAAATTAATGGAGAACACGTATTTAAATTCTGCCCTCCAGTTCATTTATTAACTTTACAGAAAGCCCACAGCAGAAGAAGGCTTGGTTTATGATCATAATACCATGAATACTAAACACTGACGGGTTATTCAAGTCTTTGGGACAAATCCACTATTTACTGTTCTTGAACTGCTGGTACTTGATTACTAACAATAAAGTTACCACATTTGAGAACCAGATTTCCCCACGTTCAGTGAAAGCTTCTGACATTAAAAGCAAAGCCACACAGATAAGCACTGATTAGCTGACCAATTCCATTTCATAAAATTCAATGCCATCTTTTAAAATAATTGGTTTACATGCAGAACAGATTCTCAAGCAAAAGCACGAACAAACAAAAAAACAAAAAAAGAAAAAAAGCCAACAGAATCTGAATGGAAGCTCTAGAACAAGAAGAGAAAGGCCAGGGATTACAGTTTTTCTTCCAGCGGCAAAAAACAGTGACAAGGAATATAACAACAAGCTCTTTGCTCAGAACTAAGGAATCTTACCTTTGTTTACAATAACAGTATTGAAGAGTTTTTCAGAGCTGGCATCTGAGGCCTAAAAAACAAAAAAAGGGGAAAGGGTGTTACTGTCATTCATGCTGGTGGTCACCATGGTCATTACTATTATCTGAAATCAATATACTCTTATTTCAGAGAAGCTGGCCGAAAAATAACACTTCCGCCATCCGCCAGAAGGTGGTGCTAGTTGACTACAGGCCGGAGACCTGCAGTGCAGCTATCTGCTAGGAGAAAAACCGGATTTTTAAAACCTGTCCTTATTAGACATATTATCTTTGAAAAACATATTTCTCCAAACTGGTATACAAAGCAGTTCAGCTCATCCACATAATGATTTTGCAATTTCCCTGGCAGAAATTGCTTTTGGAAATGGTACCCCTTTTTCCTGTTATTTGCAAGCATACCAATTTTTCTATTTCCTTAATGAAGCCAGAAATGGCTATTACTTAACACTAGGCTTTTCCTCACGAAAAAAAAAAATTCATTAGCACTCCTAGAAATTAATTTTTCAAGACTCCTCTGATGCCCCTAAGATCTGTCTGAGATGACCAGTGAGGCTGCTGCTGGACTAGGGACAGGGACAGTCCGTCCCTGCATGAACGTGATTTCCTCTCCATTTTCCGCTGTTCGTGTCTGTTCATTATTACACTGGCTTGAAAGAATTGAAATAAGCCTGTTTAAACAGTAGGAGGAAAAGAGATTTAAAAATGATACACTCATTTTCTGGAAAATAAACCTGAAATCACATTGAGGGAAAATGCTGCAAAATTGTAGCAGTCATAAGATTTCTTGAACTTAAAAAAAAAATCAAATTAAAATTTAAGCAAAGGCCCCTCGACATGATTTGAAGATGCAGCCGCAGCAAAAGTTATCATGGCTGTATGTAAACTGTTTTTGCTACATAAACCCCTTCTTGAAGGAAATTGCTTATCTTTCGTTAGACAGAGGTGCCATGTCTTGGCAATGCAAAGCATATAATGTTGGATGAATTCAGAAGAAATGTAAGAGAGTGGGGACTCTGAAATATAGCAAATTCTGACTCTGGGTCAGGTTTTTGGGGACAAAGAAGATAGTCAACTTAGTCTGATGCATTATGTTGGAAAAAAATGAAATAATCATGTATCTATCTGGGGACATGTTCTAGTTATTAAGAAAAGTAGCATACAGAAAGACAACAAATTTTCATAATGACTCTTCTGCCTTTATTTCAGTTTCACTCTTCCTACTGAATGGGGCTGTTTGGATGATTAACAAATTGGCAACAAAAAAATGTACATAAATGCCATACAAGTGTCAAGCTGTATATACATTTATAAAGAGCTGAAAATAAATCAGATTTTTTTTGCCCTCTTATGCTGTCTAGCAGATTAAATGCAATTAGTTTTTTTTAAATTTAATAGTACCTTCTCATAAAAACTGACCCCAAAAATGTGGTATGGAGGGAAGTTACGCTGTGACGAACATGGAACTCTTAAACCAGACCTTCCAGGACAGTGTAAAATCCTGACAGCGTGACAAGTGAGGTTTCGAGGAATCAGCTTCCTAACTAGAATCTCAGAGGCAAGAGTGTCTCACTCTTCTGCAAGAGTGAAATAGTGGCCTCCTCATTCAAATTGCAATGGTCGAATTAAAAATACAGGGTCAAAAATATAAACTCTAGTAGATAAATTTTTAAAGGAAAAAAAAACTCTTAGTTAAGTCACTTTACCAAACTAAAAGAACCCTCATAAATTTGGAGATTATCTATTGTCATCAATCTAATTGGCCCAATGAAACAGAAAAAAAAAGGCAACACATAAATGACTGCAACCCAAACACAAAAGACATGAGAAAGGAAAAGAAATGGTTCTGATTGTTTTTCTTAGGGCTTTCCTCTGCTGCTGCAGAGTGAGTCTGCAGGTGCCCAGGCCCTAGTTTCTCCCGGCCTCCCGGGTTGCCACCTCCCTGGGTGCACCAGAGACAGCAGGGTACCGGAGCCTTCCTCCCATCCTAAGCAAACTTAGAGAATGTGTTTGAGGATGCCAGTCAGAAAGTTAATGGAGAACTAAGTCCGACGGGATTCAAAGGGGCTTAGGAGCATGCCTTCGAATAAAAGCTTTGTGAGACCCCCAGCCTTCTGCTCCATGTCACAAAGCCTGAAATAAACGATGCCTTCCTTCTGCCACTGGGAAGGGGTGTCTTCAAAAAAAGACCTCCATAGGGGGGGAAAAACGCCCCAATGAAAAAGAATGCACAGAGGTCTTAATGATTCCAGATCCTTTTTTCTTCCCCCGACCAGCGCTTAAAAGTCCGAGAAGAGCTTCTTATCCAGTCTTCAGCGGAGAACTACATGAAAACGCTTGTCCTTCACGAACTTTCCAGATTCGACTTTTGCTTTGAAAGCATTTGTACAAAATATTTGGCGCCTTGGGTCTTAAATGTCGGGATGTTTTCTTTTTTCAATGCCTTTAGGAAAGTCTGCAATTCTCCTGGCTGATTTTTTTTTTTTCTAAACCAGCAACGCCTAATGGAAACCTGGTGAGCTGGAGAGTGTGCAGGGGACCGCGGCGCCCGCTTCTCTGCGCGCACACAGCGGCACACCACACGAAAACCGAACGGGAAACCTGGCGAGTTGGGCTCGCCATTTCGGTCCACCCCACCTCGATCGATGTTGCAGCGTGAAAGCAAGAGGCTGAAATAACACTGACCCACCCTCCCCAAAGGCCCTCTCATGCCTGAGTCTTTTGAAGGGGGGAAGGGGGTGCAAATTTTTAATTCCTTTTTTTTTCCCCCCAAATTACTGGTCGCCGTAGTTGATGCTTAAAGAAAAAAGTTCGAGAAGTCGGGCCGATCGCAGGAGGGAAGACGAAGAGGGCCCGAACACAGCGACCCAGCCTTGCGTGCAGAGTAGGGCGCGCGCGGCGGCGGTCACTCGGGTCCGAGCTCCGCCCGTTAATTCCCTTCGGCTTGCAGACCCGGGCGACGGCCCCCCGCACCCGCACCCCGCAGAAAGGGACTTTCCGACGAGAAAGGAAACCCCCCTGGAAACTTAAGCGCGAGTTCTTTTTCGCCAACTGCCGCCCAGAGCCTCCTTTCGCTTCCTTGGCACCGCGTGCCGGCCCGGATGCCCACCTCGGCGCGGCCGGCCACTTTCCCGGGGAGCCCGCGCGGCGCAGCACCCCGACTTCGGCCCGCGTCGGGAGGGGACCCCTCGGGGCGGGGAGAGCGCCGGGGGTCGCCCCCTGGCAGCACCAACCGCGCAGCTTGGGCCGCCCGCGCCGCGGCTCCCGCCCGGCCCAGCGCGCCGCCGGCCGCGGGGAGAAAAGTACAAAGGCGGGCGCGCCGGGCGCGGAGAGGGGGAGCGAGGCGGGCAGCAGGCGGAGGGGTGACCGAGGGGGGCTCGGGCGCGCCGGACGCCAGCAGCCCACCCCCGCCACCTCGCCAGCCCGCGGGCCCGGCCGCCGTTAACAAAAGACCCCCCCCCCCACCCGGCCGCCTTCCCGAATCCCGAACGCGGGCGGCCGCGCCCCCGGGGCTGCATTACCTGGTCGCCGAGGGGTACGCGGTGCTGTCAGCCCCAAGTTCATGGTTTGGCTCCCGAGCGGGGCGGGCGCGGACGGCTCGTCGGCAAGCGGGGGGCAATCGCCCGACGCGGAGAGAAAACGCCCAAGTCCGATCGGGCACGGTGCGCCCGCCCGCGTCCCGGGGCTGGCCCGGCGCGGGTCCGGAGCGGCGAGCGGGTCTTGGGGCGCCCGGCGTAGCCCGCAGCGCTCAAGGCTAGCGCGGCCAAGGCCGGCGGGCGGCGGCGGCGGCGGCGGCGGCCCCGGGGAGCGCGCGCCCGCCCGCCCGCCAGCCGACGGCCCCCCGACCCGCGCTCGCCCGCGGGGGTCCCGGCCGCTCCTGCGGCGCGCGGGGCCGGCGGGCACGGCGGGGACTCGCGCGAGCGTCCCGGGCGGTCGAGGCGGAGACGAGCGGCCGAGCTGCGGCCGCGGAGCGCGGAGCTAAGAGCGAGGCGGCGGCGGCGGCGACAGGACAAAGGAGACCATGTGCGGAGGGAGGGAGGAGGGAGAGGGAGGAGGAGAGGAGGAGGAGGAGGAGGAGGAGGAGGTGGAGGAGGAGGAGGAGGAGGAGGTGGAGGAGGAGGAGGAGGAGGAGGAGGAGGAGGAGGAGGAGGAAGAGGAGGAGGGCGCGCGGCGGCGGCGGCGGCAGCTTCTCCCCGGCGGCTGCCCGGGGCTCCCCGACTGCGGGGCCCGCCTTTCGGGCAGCAGCGCGGCGGGCCGGCCGGTCCCGGGCCCGCCCCGCCGCCGGGCGCTGGAGGGAGTTGCCGCTCCGGGAATCGTGCTCCGCGCCGGGCCTCCCGGGCGCGCGGCGAGGAAGCGCGGCCGGGGCCGGGGCGCCGGGCGGGCTGCGGGGGGCGCCGGCGCCTGCTGGCCGGGCAGTGCCCGGGGCTGGCTGGGCTCCGGCCCGCGCTGCCTCTCCCGCCGGCGCGCCGCTCAAGTGAACTCCATGGGCGGCCGCAGCCGGGCCGGCTGGCAGCAGGGGGTGGGCGGCGGCGGCACGGGGGGCCCCTGGCTCCGGACTGGGCGCCCCGAAGGCGGGGAGCGAGCCTCCTGCACACGCTCGCAGCTCTCGGAGCGGGACTTGCGCGCCGAGCCCGAGCCCGAGCCCGAGCCGCCCCTCCCCCGGCCCGCCCCGCGCGCCCCGCCCCGCGCGCCCCGCCTCTCGCCCCGCCGCCCGCCGGCCCCGCCGGGGCGCAGTCCCCGGGCGCGACGGCCACAGCTGTCGCTCACCCCCCGCGGCGCGGGCCCCAGGTCCCCGCGGCGGCCGTCCCCGCGGGCGGGCACGGCGGCTCGGCGCCCCCCCACCCCCACCCCACGCTTCCCATAGATGCCCGGGCAGAGAACGGCCTCCAGGCCCCGCAGCCTAGGGGGGACCCGAAGGGGGACGGAGGGGGGTGACCGCGGCCAGGTCTGTCACTTCGGGCAAGGGCCGGCTCTCCGGGTGGGTGGTGCGGGTCTTGGGGTGGAAGGGGGGGGGGCAGTGACGAATGCCAAGCTC